CTTTTTCCACCGTGTAACTCTTTGTTTGCGCGACTAACCGCGATTATTTCTTCCTTTTAGCTCGGGCTAAGCTTTTCTCTTTTTTTCTTTTTTTTTCTTCGCAGAGGAGAAGATTGGATTTTACGTAGTAGTTTCCGGATCTCGTTCGTTATCGAAGTCGGAAGTTTTCTCTCCTCGTTCTAGAATCTTTTTTTCCGTCGTTTTTTCCTTTTTTTTTTATTCGCCATTTTTCGATTTCTCCTTTTCCAACGCCCCTGTTTTTTTCACGCGGGTCGTGACGTTGCGTGCGACGCGTTTCTTTGTCGTTGTTGAATAAAAAAAGATCAGGGAGTTGTTTTCTTCCTTGCAATTTTTCCTCGGAAATTTTCTTAATTATACCTTTAACAACCGAGCTTTTATTTACGCGCGAAATTCCTCGCTCGTTATCCCAAATTGTGATTTCTTTTTACTACGCCATAGAGAGTTTTTTAGACAGCGTTTTTAGACTCCTCTTATCCTCCGCTTATTAACCAAACGTTGTTGGAGCAACGTTGTAAAAATCGACGGAAAGAACGGACGATCTATTTCCACAAAATTCGAAGCCTGAGCGAAAAGTAAACGTTCTATCCCATATACCAGCAAGCACAGCAATACATCAATCTTTTTATCAATTCTTGTACACACACACATCCTGTCACCCTGTGATAACACACTAAAATTCTCTACGTTAAAATTTATATATATATAATAAAACGTCGCCTCGAATTAATAATACTCGAGATCTTTTTAATTCTCAATAATTCCTTCATTTCCGATCGTGCGTTTTTCCACACGAATGACGATTCATTTTCACGCGTCAACACGCACAGCTAATTTCAATTATAAATTATAAAGTCTTGAAAATTAAACGATCCCTTATAGTTTTACACCACGCAATTTTCTTCGACGACGACGCAAAGGTCCATAAAGACTTGGACAACGATTCTGTGCAACTCTGTTGCGACATTTTCCATGTTTTGGCGAATGTAGCCTAAATAAAAGAGAAGGAAACGCGGGTAGATGATCGGCAACAGGGGTTGTTCCCGAAGTAAAGACCGGATGGTGTGCGGTCTGGCTCGTGAATTTTTCACCATTTCACCCGGACGTTAGCCCGCCTCTTATTAAACATGCACGCGTGTTCGAGCGTTTTTTCATTTTTAAACAAGATCCAAGGGACCGGACTCGTTGCCGCGTAAAATTTTAATCCGGCTTAAACGTGTCAACCGGGTACGAGAATCCGAATGATAGCTGATCCTGCTTTCGCCTCGTTTGAATTTTCATCTGAATACGACTTTATTGACAGCTTTTCCCCCTAATATCATCATCGTATGAGGTTTCCCTTCTTTCCAACGAATTACCGTATTCTTTTTTTCTTTCTTTTTTTTTTACTAAATTATACATTCAACTTTCTTCTTCTGCGAAATTCTTCAAAAAATTGTCAAAGTATTTTTCTATACGCAATACGAATAGAATGACTTTAAGTTAACCGTTCGACTCGATACACGGAAACCCCGTAAATCGACGTTTCCTCTTCAAACGCCAATTAAAATCGTAAAATCCATCTTCACATATCTCTTAATTGAATCTAATCTCGGTAACGTTTCGCCACGAAGATAGGGAAGAGGAGCTCGACTTCTCCCAAAGTTTCTTCAAAGAACGGTGGCGGTCGATTCCACCCACTTTCGAGTTCACTTTTAACCGAATCCCGGCTCGAAAAAAAAAAACGAGGTGAGACGAGGTGGACGCAAGAGAGAGAGAGAGAGAGAGAGAGAGAGAGAGAGAGAGGAGA